TAATAAAAGTGTAATTTTTCTCAGATGAGATAATAAATTCATTAAAAAGTAATAAGTGGAAGTAAGTTCATGGATTATTAAGAGGCAACAATAATCACAAGTAAAAAAGCTGTAAGTTCGACCGGGTCGAACTTTGAGTACCCTTCACAATTTGGAACGAATTAGAGAATTTTCAAAAAAATAAAATCTATTGAAAAGGACGGTGCCGATATATGGGGGGATATACGATATTGTGAACAAATATAGACTCGCAAGGAACTCCTTGTGTAGATTTTCAGACAATTCCATTGAAAAATGTGGCTGAAATCATCAAAATACCGAATATCGGAGGGTACCGTTATATGGGGGATATACGATATAGTGCACCTATATAGACAACTCTTTTTCAGGGAGTAAAGTACTCACAAGCAACTTATTGTGTGGATTATCAGACACTTCCGTTGAAAAATGTGGATAAAATCATCAATATACCGAATATACGATATCGTGGACCTATATAGACAATTCTCTTTCAGGGGGAGAAATACTCATAAGGAAATCCTTGTATGGAATTTCGGACAATTCAATTAAAAAATGTGGCTGAAATCATCAAAATACCGAATATCGGGGGTACCGTTATATGGGAGCTATTCGATATCGTGGAGCTATATAGATAATTCTCTTTCAAGGGATAAAGTACACACAAAGAACTCCTTGTGTGGAATTTCAGACAATTCCATTGAAAAATGTGGCTAAAATTATCAAAATACCGAATTTCGGGGGTACCGTTATATGGGGGCTATACGATATCGTGGACTTATATAGACAATTCTCTTTCAGGGGGTGAAATACCCATAAGGGACTACTTGTGTGGAATTTCAGACAATTCAATTGAAAAATGTAGCTAAAACCATCAAATACCGAATATCGGGGGTACCGTTTTATGGGGCTAATCGATATCGTCGACCTATATAAATAATTCTCTTCCAAGGTATAAAGTACCCACAAGGAACTCCTTGTGTAGATTTTCAGACAATTCCGTTGAAATGTGGGCAAAATCATCAAAATACCGAATATCGGGGGGTACCGTTATATGGGAACTCTTTCGTGGTATAAAGTACCCACAAGGAAGTCCTTGTGTGGATTTTCAGACACAATAAACCATAATTCTCACAATAAACCATATGTATATGTTTAATAGCTTTTCACGAAATTTCTATTTTAAATGAAGGCTATAGTCGTGCGGGGCCGTCAATGTGATACCCTACAATACTATAATTTATTCAAGAACCCTATTAAGTTCAAACCCATTCTAGTCGATTTTTTTACAAAAATTCCAAAAATCACTAAAAAGGTTACCTTTGTTGTTTGTTCTATATTTACGCCCTCCGTCGCGCTTGTGGGCCATTTTACTTCACTAAATATAATCCGATAGCCCTTCAATTTCATGCAAAATTCCATGTCAATGGGTCTTTAATTGTAACCTGTAGGTAAATTTTCACTTTTTGGAACATTTTAATCCCTAAGTATTTTGCGAACATTCTTAACATCTTTAGGCTTCTATTATGACCCTAACTCCATGCTAAATTTCGTGAGGATCGGACGATAAATGCGCCCTGTATCCCCCACAAATTGTGTTGCAGGGTGCATAAAATTCTTAAAGTCAAATTGCTGGCATATGTTTATGAGATTTTTTTTGGATTTTATCTCTTTCTGCCAAAAGACCATTCAGAATTTCTGATAATATCTCCAGTCGTTCTTGAGCAGTCAACGATGCATAGACTAGACTAACTAACATCCCCTTCTTTAATATATGAGAGTGCATACAATTTGCAATGTATGCGATATCTTGGATTTCAAGCTCAATGTAAAGGTCATCCATCTTCCATCCTTCGATACAGCTTGGAGTTTATATTAACTTTGTCAATCCGTTTGTAACACCTCGAAATATAAATTGTTGATTCCACAAAGTATATATATTCTTGATCAGCATAAAAAATGTATATCGATATGGCGATATCCGTCCGTCTGCGGAATTTTTTACTCAGACGTGTTTTAGGTCTATAGGTAAGATGGGCTATGTAGGTCCACGTTTTGGTATAGCCCCCATATAACAGACAGCTTTAAGATTTTTTGGGTGTTTCATTCACAATTTCGCCCTGAATTTGCTGCAAATTGGCAGTATATGTTACAATTATATAAGAAACAATGTTGCATAGAACTGTCAGTATAGGTCTAAATTTTGGTATGCAGGGTGAGATGAAAAAACTTCAACCAACTTCAGACTGCCGTCATTTCTAAGCCACTCGTCCGACAGCTGTTAAAATTATTCCAGTGACAGCTCATTATATTGTTTACAAGCGTACAAAAGCATTTTGGTGAGAATTTCCATGGTGAGAATTTCGTGATGGTGTGATTTCTTCATATTTGGCTGGAAAACCACAAGTGGCTATCGTTAGAGCATATCAGCATTAAAACGTGAATAAATCTTTTGTGTCCCGTACTATCGCCCTTTACTGTGATACTGGTAGCGTAGCCCGACCTCAAAGAAGTGGACGGAAGGAAACAGCAACATCAGCAGAAATGGTTCGAAAAGTAAAGAAGCGACTTGATCGAAACCCGCAACGCAGTGGCCGAAAAATGGATCGTGAGCTGAACATATCCCAATATTCCATTCGGCAACTAAAAATAAAAAAGTGCAAGAACTTACACCGCAACAAAAAGAAATAGACTCAAAAGAGCTAAAGATTTGCTTCGCTTAGCCGAAAGTGGTGAACTGCCGAATTTGGTTTTCTCCGATGAGAAAATATTCATTGTCCAGCAGTTTTTAAACAAACAAAATGATCGTGTTTACTTTCCAGAGAGGTAAGCTGAAAATGTGCACCATCGGATGGCCACCAGAACTCAAGCGACGGCCATGGTGATGATGTGGGCCGCCATAACAGCCGATGGTCGGTCTCCGCTCGTATTAATCTACCGAGGCATTAGAATAAATGCCGAATATTATTGCAAAAATATTCTGGAGAGTGTATTAAAGCGTTGGGCACGCAAACATTTTGGCCGCAGACCTTGGACATTCCAACAGGACTGAGCACCATCGCACTCAGCACGCGTCTCCCAGGAATGGTTATAAAATGAGGTTCCTCGCTTCATTTCCAGCACACAATGGCCACCAATATCTCCGGATACAAATCCGTTGGACTATTGTGTCTACAGTATTTTGGAAAGAAAGGTTGGCATTAAAAAATACCAAAGTTTCGCCGGGAATGGGCCAAAATGCCAAAGGTGACCAATTCGAACAAATCTAAACTTATTCTTAGATTTGATGCTATTTCCGAAATTTTTACTTTCATTAAATAAAATTAAAAAAAAATTATGGTGTTTGACTTTGTTGCAGTTATTTTTTATCTCACCCTCTATATGATGCCCGGTATCAAATATCTTTGTTGTGGAGTGCATATTATGCACATGAGAGTCTTTAACACGAAATCTGATGAAACATATATATGGGAGCTGTAGCTATATCTGAACTGATTTTCACAAAATTTTATTTATTTGCTACTAGACTGAATTCGGTCGGAATGCCAAAATTGACTCCATTCGGTCTGATATTAACCATTTGGTGCACAATAAACCTGATATCGGATAAAGATATCTATGGGTGCTACATCCTAATCTAAACCGATATCGATATAATTTGATAGAGGTATTTTCGAACAGTATCTGATGTCCAGTACCAAATATCATTCTTGTGCAGTGCATGTTACGCATGTGAGGGACTTAAAGCCCCAAATCGTATGGAACATATATATGAGAGCTATAGCTATATCTGAACCGATTTTCTCCAAAGTTGATGTACTTGCTTCCAGACTGAATTCGGTGAGATGTACCGAAATGCAGGTCATTTGAACTTATATTGGTCATTTGGTGCAGAATTAACCCGAAATCGGTTCAAGATATATGGGAGCTATATATGAATCTGATTCGATTATCACTAATTTCAATAGGGTTCATCCTTGGGCCAAACAAATATTGTTTGGAAAATTTTATCTCAATCGGATAACAACTGCGACCTGCATTTTGTTCACAAGAATACATGGACGGACGGACGGATCGACTCAAAAACTGATTGTATGAAAATCCTCAAAAGCAATTATGGGTCTATCAAACTTCCAAAGGCCCATAATGATATTCTAGACCTGACATAATCTCAATATAATTTTGACAAACACATATAAAGCTATAGCCTATCAATGCAATTAAAACTACAAAGCCTGGGAACATGTCTCCACCATTGAATTCTCGCTATTCCATGAGTGACAGTTACCTTCATATTTTCCATTAAATTAGTCAGTGGCAATTAATTACTATTAGCCTCTGATTGAGCACTGTATTAACATAATATTGCTTTTAAAATTTAATGAATTAAATATCGAAACGAACAAGTAGATAATTAAATAATTCAATTAAAATTACGACAATCATTCGTTGAATAGAGCATTATATGTGACGTCATTGAATTTTTCAAAAGTGTTCCCTGTCAAGTAAACAGAATGAAAATGGGATTTTCTCTGCGGGTTTGTCACCACTTGAGACTGCGGTAAAACATGGGTTCGGAAGAAATTCTAACTATTTCATACTTTGAACTCCTTTTATAAACATATGGAACATTCAGGTGCTGCAATCCCTTAACTTTATTTCAATATCACCACATGTTTAAATTATCCCATAAAAAAGTAGAAAAACAATAATAAAATTTAAGACAATGCAATTGATAACCACCACACAAATAATTCATTATTTACACGCACACACACACACACTATCAAACATTCTGGCCAATTCATCACAATGGATATAAATAGTCCTTTTACAGGGCCTATGCGTAACAAGCAACCAGCATATCTGTGGATGTGGTCTGGTCTAGGACAACGATTCAATTCATTAATATTCATTCAAACCCATTTACATTCATGTTCCCAAAAACACACATTCAAACACACACACACATGCATACATACCTGTAACACATTCGAGTCCATGGCATCCATGGCCGGGTGATAACTGCCATAATTGCCCCTCTGTGCTGTGTAGACTAACTGTGCGGCACACAATAAAGTTAATACTGGACACAACCACGTTGTGGCTTTCATAGTGCTGAAGAGAAAGAAAGTGAGAGAAAAGAGAAGAGAGAGGGAGAGGGTGAGACATTATAAAACAAGACCCGTTGAAAATATTTAAACACGCTGCACTTTTTTTCTGCCACAATTCGCAGATGCAAGAATATCAATGAAGTGAATGGCCATTTTCGCATTCAATTGGCCGTCTTGTTGCAACCACCTGCTGTGGCATGCATCGAATGAGCTTGCTCATAAAAATTGTGGCAAAAAATCATGCATTTTTTCGTGTTTCTTATTTTTTTTACTTTAATGTCCAACTTAAAAATAAGCATTTATTTGTGTATGGGTAAAATTCGTTAAGTATGGCTGTGGTCAGTTGTCGGAGTAAAAGTGCACAACATCATCAGAATACATAATCTGTTGCATGTTTTTTTCTTTAAGGTTTTGGTAGATAACGGTTGCAATACGTGATGTTTCCCCAACAAGTTTGGGATTTAACAAACATTATGTGCATATTTAGATGCAAAATCTTTGATAAGTTTAACGAAATATAGAAATGTAAGAGTTAGATTTGATTGTTTCAAACTCCCACGTGCATTTCATACGTGTTGCAAGTTGCATAACAATCTTGGATAAGATGTGTTGTATATCATGACGTATACTTTACCTCGAAAATTGGGGATAATCTATAACCTTGTTTAAGATGTTGATACAGGCCATTAAATTAATTTCTACAATATAATAATTTTTAGTATTTTTATCTCCAAATTCGATTTTATACAAAAGTAAAATAAGATGAGTATTTCGAATAATTTTCTAAAATCTTTGATTTTTTTCAATTTAATAAAAGAATTTCAAAGAATCATTCGGTTTGGTAGGCTTTGGTTTTAGGATTCGCATCTAGATGGGAGTCAGCAGTTGCCTCCCTCGGAGACTTTTGGTCTGTTGTGTTCATCCTTGGAAAAAAAAAATCGTGGTGATAGGAGAGATAGAAAAATTGAAGGAAAGCTTTATGGGGTGAAGTGCAGTAACCAGCGTAGTCATGGAGTCAGTGTTCAAATAAAGTTAGTGTTTCTGTCTCCCATCTGCCGCATACCGCGATTCTTAAAGCAGTGATATAAGGAAGGAAGGGCTTTCCTGCAGTCAGAAGAGGCTTTAGAATTAGAGGCACTTGACTTGATAGCCTACAGAGCCACATGACTTTCTACATAATCACAGGTCCAGTACTGGTCACTCCGCCTGGAAAACGCTGCAATTGGCATTAAGCGTGAGTGTTATTGGTTGGTTATTATTGGTTAGGAACACCATCTTCAAGCCGTTTGTATAAATGACCATCTAGAAAAGTTTCACAACCAGCCCAAGAGTTCCTATTAAATATCTAAACGTCAATTTAATTCAAGTCGAAAATTGTAGACTGTAATCACTAGTTGTATAACCTTCACCTTGTATATTAGTATTGGTAAGTCCAAGATTCGTGCATGACCAAAATGTGAAAAGTACCACAACAATGATATTTGATAACGAACATCAGATAATGCTCGAAAATACCTCCGCCAAATTTTATCGAGATCGGTTCAGATTTTTTATAGCTTCGATATACATCTTCGCCCGATTTTACGGTTATTGCTCACCATATATGCAATATCGGACCAAATTGAATAGATTTCTTTATATTGAACCGAATTTTACCGTTTGGGGAACTCGGTCCGGTACGTCTATTGCTCCAATAAATATTATTTAATATAATCCTTATCGAAGTCATATTATGCACTATACAGCATGTTATTTGAATCATAGTTGGTATGATTATGATTCACATAAATTCCCAATAAAAACTTTTTTTGATACGGGTGCTCTACTAAATACACACAGTGGTGTAGGGTATCATTTAGTCGGCCCCGCCCGACTTTTGACCTTTCCTTACTGGTTTTTGTCTAAATTAGAGCAATTGTGAAAATTTATTGTATGAATCCTCCGTTTCTCTGGTGAACCACTCCCCATGATACGTCAAAGTAAAATAGTAATTCTCTCAGTTGTTTGCTTAAGTCTGGAGAATTCCCTCATTGGTATAACTTTATATTACTCTCTATTACAGAGAACAATTTTTTTACCCTTAACCACATAGTGATAAGGGTATTATGTCTTTGTGCATTTGTTTGTAAGATGGAGATGGAAACGAAATAGACCCTAAGTTATTTTAATGATCAGCATAGAATCACATTTTGAGTCGATTTATGCATGTCCGTCCGTCTGTCTGTCCGTCTGTCCACGTATTTTTGTAAACAAAATGTAGGTCGCATTTATTATTCGATTGAGATGAAATTTTCTAAATAACATTTGTTTGGCTCATGGACGAACCCTATTGAAATTGGTGAAAATCGGTCCAAATTTAGATATAGCTCCCATATATATGTTTCATCCGATTTTGGTGTTTAAGTCCCTTACATTCGTTATATGCACTCCACAAGACTGATATTTAGCACCAGATATCAGATGCAGCCTAGAAATTCATAGATCAAATTTTATCAAGTTCGGTTCAGATTTGGATATAGCTGCCATGTATATCTTCATCCGATTTTAGGTTTCTTGTGCACCAAATGTCTAATTTCAGCCCAAAGTGAGTGCACTTCCCAGCGAATTCATTCAAGAAGTTAATACTTAAAATTTGGTGAAAATCGGTCCAAATTTATATATAGCTCCCATATATATGTTTCATCCGATTTTGGTGTTTAAGTCCCTTACATTCGTTATATGCACTCCACAAGACTGATATTTAGCACCAGATATCAGATTCAGCCTAGCAATACATGATTCAAATTTTATCAAGGTCGGATCAGATTTGGATATAGCTTCCCTCTATATCTTCGTCCGATTTTAGGTTTCTTGTGCACCAAATGGCTAATTTCACCAAAGTGAGTGAAGAGTTGCACTTTAGAGCGAATTCATTCTAGGCGTTAACATTTAAAACTTGGTGAAAATCGGTTCAGATAAAGCTCTAGCTCCATATATATGTTTCATCCGATTTGGGGTTTAAATCTCCAACTTTCGGAATATGCACTCTACCATAATCATATTTTGTACAAGATATCTCATAGAGCTCAGAAATGTCCAATGTAAACCTTTCTTTTACGAGAGCTCTACTTAATATGCATAGTGGTGTAGGGTATCATATAGTCGGCTCCGCCCGACTTTTGAGCTTTCCTTACTGGTTTCGTAATGAAAATGAAACTTTTCGCGTACTTACTGACAACCGGAACTCTCAAGGGCACTCTCCTGTCTGTATTAAATGTGCTGCTGAATTTCCACTACATGGTGATATTCTAGCTCAATTTTAAGCAGCAAGGAGTGTGCTGAGACTACTGGAAGTGCATATTACGCATGTAAAGGACTTTACCACCAAATCGGATGAAACATATACGTGGGAGCTGTAGCTATATTTGAACCGATTTTTACCAAATTTCAAGTACTTGATTCTAGAATAAATTCAGTCGGATGTGCCAAAATTCAGTCCACTTGGGTTGATATCAGCCATTTTGTACGCAAAAAATCTGAAATCGGATAAAGATATATATGGGAGCTATATCCAAATCGGAACCAATTTTTGATAAAATTTGACAGAGATATTTTCGAGCAGTATCTGATGCCCTGTATCGAATATCATTGTTGTGGAGTTCATATTACGCATGTGAGGGACTTAAGACACCAACTCGGTTGAAACATATATATGGCTGTACAAAATACTTTGTGCATACTTTTGAGGGCGGTTGAGACGCTGGCAAAATCTAGCAATAACAATAAATATTCTAAAACTTCATATTTCCTAGCCGCCATAAAATATCACATATGAAGAATTCAGTGATCTTGTGCGCTGACGCATGCGATAATGTGTGAGATAATAAAGGTTATGACCCAAAACGCACAGATATCGATGCGCTCAGTAGATGTACAAGACCACTTGAATGAAATGTCAAGCAGCCCTGCAATGTTCTCCATTCAATATTAGAATAGATGCGATTAGGTTAAGTTAGATTAGTTTCTGTAGTACTTAAGAAACATATTTTTAAATAAAAACTAGAATTGAATCAACAGCCAAACCATTCGGTTGGTTTTCTTTTCTCATCACCGAATAGAGAGTAGAGTTGACAATCGAAGTGGGAGATTGGATTCTTTCTTCATCTTTACAATGGGAACCGATTTTCAACAAATTTGATGTACTGGCTTATGACTTAATTCGGTCGGATGTTTCAAAATTTAGGTCATTTGGTTGAAAATATGTGGTAACTATATTTATATTTGAACCGATTCTCATCAATTTTAATAAGGTTCGTCCTTGGGCCAAACAAATATAGCTTGCAAAATTTCATCTCGATCTGATAATTAATGCGACCTGCAGTTTGTTCACAAAAATACTTAGACAGACGAGCAGACGGAATGACATGCATAAATCGACTCAGAAAGTGATTCTATGAAGATCCCTAAAAGTAACTATTGTTCTATCTCGCTTCCTTCTCCATGTTACATGCTACACCACTATGTGGTGTAGGGTATAAAAATGCGATGAGCTAAGTTTGTAGGACACTTTAAAATTTAACGAGAGCACTTTAAAATGATTGAGCCTTATTTGCGGGAGGTACCAGGTAAGTTCCATAGAAAAAAATTACGATGCACCACGTTTGGACTAAATCGTATACTCCGCTCGAGACGGACAATGCTAGATCGACCCCAAATATCTTGCATACAAAAACAAACTTTGCTGTGAAAAGTATTTGCTAATAGTACTTGGTCGAATTTGGAGGGTTTATGGTGTTTAATTCGCACATGCTTAATAGGAATAAGTTCGAAATAAAGACTACTTTCCAGAAAAATACTACTTTCCAGAAGAGAGGTACCATAAAATGGGAGCTATGCCAATTAAAGGCCCTGAATCGAACATTTTTGCAAGAAGAAAACAGACTTACCGAGAACCCCAACTTTCAAGTTTTATCTTATTTTGTTGGGAATTGTGGCAGAAACCTTCAAAATACCGAAAATCATCAT